ATTAAAGTATTGCTTTTCTAAAATCTTAGTTCGTAGTTCTAAACTACTCCCTGTGGGATCGATATCTAGGACTCCATTAGAGCCCTATATTACTTGAGCGATACGTATACTTGCATTGATAAGTGTGACTTTACAATTATTGAATATTTATTACGTCCATATTTATCTTATATTTTTAAGCATATATAAAGTTGCGGCCAGTATACTTGCATAGAATCCCTAGAAATATAATTGAAATCTTACTTTGCTTTGGATAAAGTTTTTGGTGCATTACCGGGGATTAAAATCTTCAAGTAGTGGTGTCAACTTCTTAAATTTTACATATAAAAAAGAATATCAGGATCACTACTCCTAGAAGTAGTGCCACAACATACAAGTCAACACAATTAGAGCAGAGAAAGGTTAATTTCTCCATAATCAGATAGTTGACCTTCAATCCTCAAAGAGTACAACTAGTGTATTAGATCAAGAATTACTTTCCCGACTTTTCTCCGACCAACAAGAAACTAATCGCCTCAGCTTCTACCCCCAAGTAAAAAAGAGCGCTTTGTCCATATCCGAGCTTTGAAGGAGTGGTGGTGTAACTAAAGCATCCTGAAGTCCCTGGAAAGCTTGCTGACACTCTTTTGTTTACTGGAAACTTTCAGCTTTTCTAAGAGTTTTGAAGAATATGGTGCATTTGTTACTTGAACTCAAGATGAATTGACTTAGAGCTGCAATCCGGCCAGCTAACTTTTTGACCCTCTTGGATACTTCGTGGGGTGACATATCAATATGTGCTTGGATCTTGTTGAGGTTTCTTTTAGCTTTCAGGGGTTAGTAGGTAACCTATGAACTTGCTCGTTGAGGCTCTGAATGTGCATTTTAGGGGGTTCAACTTCATATTAAGTTTTCTTAAAGTTTGGAAAGTTTCTTTTAACAAGGACATCGTCAACATAGACCTCAATATTCGTTCATTTCCAATTCTTAAGAATTACATCCATTAAATATAGGTACATGGCACCAAAGTTCTTAAGCCCGAAGGATATTATATCATAACAAAACACTCCCTCAAAAGCTGGTAGAAATTTTTTTCAATGTTCGTTGGGTACATCCTGATTAAATGATAGCTGGAGAAAACATACAGAATGCTCATAACTGAGTATTCCTATGACTATATTCACCAATATGTCAGTCCTCAAAAGATGTAGTAGTCCTTCGTGAAGGCAGCTTTTAAAATGGCGACGTAGACACACATCCTCCACTTTCCATTGGCCTTCTGGACCATGATGAAATTTGAAAGCCAGATGTGGTAATAAACCTCTCAGATTTACCATGCCTTTTACAACTTCAATATCTCCTTTAAGATAGACCCAACCAACGCGATCATTGAGTTCCTTGCCTTTAGCATAATCTGTCAAACTGTGGGGCTCACTTTCAATCTGTGGCAGGCAACATTGGCTGACATGCCAGACATCTCTATGACAGACCGGGCGAAGACATTGTGGTAGTTTGAAGCATTTGAATTAGAAGCTCCTAATGTCCAACATTTATTAGGTTCGTCCTCGCAGTCTGGGATCTCCTAGGTGGCCTCACTGGTCTCGAGGTTGCCTTCCTTTTGATTCTATAAGTTGAGCGGCTCCGATTCCACTCTTCCGACTAACTGGAGGTAATAGACTCAGGACAACTCCAGATCTCTCGTGACAGTGATTATTTCGCCGTCATCCAGAAACTTGACTACAAGGTGGTAGGTTGACACCATGACTCTGAAGTGATTTAGTAGCAAGCAACAAAAAATGGTGTTATAGGTTGGGGGTGAATCCACAATCATGAAATCTTCTATCTCTGTGTATTGCTTCTCTTGCTTGCCCCTGGTGACCACCAATGACATTACACCAAACAACTTTTTCTTCACCTGAAAACCAAAAAGTGGGCCTACTAACCAGTCAACTCAATGACTAAGTCAAACAATGACTTGAACAAAATTTTCACAGAGCTTCCAGTGTAAATGAGGATACACCTAACTTGAAAATTAGTAATTATCCCCATGACGGCTGTAACCTCATTGTACGAGTTTCCCTATTTGGGAAGAGCATCGTCTGTGAACATGATTAGTGGGGGGGGGGGGGGGGGGTGCCCTTTTTTTTTTT